CCTACTCTTCCCTTACCTAGATAAACTCTGAATTACCTAGATAAACTCTGATAGTGTTGTAATAGTCCCCGTTCAGACATCCATGAACGTGCATTATCAACATGCCTGGACCAATCAAGTTCTGCATTCATGCATATGTCAAATATCATATTGGACAAATGCAAATAAGTCTTCTTTTTTAAATCCATAGAGCCATATCTCATACATGTCTGTGGACATTAGAGATATCTTGGTGGTTATGTAATATCTCATGTCTATACTACAATTCACATAGTACAATGACTTGTTTTGTACTACCATCTTTGATAATGAAGTTCTCATATCTTGCATATTTAAGGTGCAAAAACACAGACGGTGATATAAAATTTCTTCTTACTTGTATATACTAATAAATACATTACTTGAATTTTGATATAGTGTACCAAGTGTGCTAGAGGTGCAGTTCACTCGTCTCGGTGACGCCAGTTCTGATGAAGAAAATGAGTTTAGGTAAGCGATTGTTGCGCCTAGAGAAATGTTGTTGGTAGATCTTTCAATCAGGTTGACAATTGATGAATATTTAAATATGATGCAGATTCTTCAAGTTCAAAATTGCACGTCTTTCTGTTAACATATTTACTTATAAACACACAAATTTACATGTTGTGTGAACTAAAACTGGATATAACTAATGCTTTATAAAATGAGGGTTTGAACCTGACGTCATTTAAATTGCGAGATGATCACACAGTTGAGTGAGTTTCTGTAAGAATGAATTAGAATTGACCCGGGCTGTTTTTTTCTGGTGCCTGTGTATGTTTTTGCCTACTTGAAATAACTTATTCATTTCTATTTCTGCAATCTAATTTTTCCATGTAATATGCTATTGGTCAAAAGTAGTTTAAACAAAGTTATGACATGGTATTGTTCAAGTTCAAATGACACATGTCTTAAAGGATGCATATTCCCTGGAAATGGATCATGTCTGGCTTCATAACACGAGTTATTTGAAATACAGTGACCCCTCACTAAGTCGCACCTCAGAAAGTCGTTGTTTCGGCTAAGTCACAGGTTGTTGGATGGCTCCCAAAAATTCTGTTGTGTTTTGCCAACAGTTTTGAGGTAAAAAATCTAATGTTTCATCACATCGTGTATTTAATTGGCCGTTAAAGGGCTGGAGAAGACAACCTAACACCTGCTGGCCGTCAACTACTGAGATAACAGCAGGCTGACATGAGGTCTCGTCGTGGGTATGAAGTCGCGATTTTACATACTTCTCTGTCGCTTTCCTTTGATAAAGCTCTATAAAACTTGTTGCAATGAGTTGAATCCATGGACGCTGTGATGTTGTTCAATAAAGAAAACGTATGATTATATGTGCTTTTTATTCATTTTTAATGCATAAATCAACATTTCACAAAACCCCTGAGTAGTCGTGGTTTTTGCTTGGATCCTGACACCCGTGACTCAGTGAGGGGCAACTGTATTCGGGTCAAAAGCATAGCACAGAGAACTGTGAATGATTTTCGTAAACTATGTGTCGTTCAAACTGTTTCTGATCAATATCACAATATAGGATAATATGCTTATCGTGTGAATTTTTGTTATTACTACCGGTAATATGCATGCAAAAACAAAATGTTATGATTTACTCGCCAT